AGGTGGCGAGAGGGTGAGGGAGAGATGGTGGACTTAGAGGAGGAAGAAGAAGAACTCTCTCTCTCTCCCTCTTGTACCAAGTACTAACTTGTGAAGGTGGCGCCTTGTTGTAGGTACATCGAAGACAAATCTGGAGCTATGGCGCCCCAGGTAAGTCTCCCTGGCCCCCACCCTTCTCTCTCTCCCAACACTACTCTACTTCTTAGCAACGCCCAACGCTGAAGACTACTCTAGCGCTAGCTACTGCTACTGCAGCGCTCCTCCAGAGTGTTGCGGCCAACTCCTGAAGACTGCCTCTTGAACGCACGTGAAGTGGCTGTAAACTGCCTGGGAAGTCCCTATGAACTACCTGCAGCCTGTAGGGCGGGCCAGTACTATATAGTGCTGGCCCATCCGAGAGGCTGCTCTTGCCAGTGCCGAAACATGCCAGACCCTGGCGTTGAAGTTCAAACAAAGGTTGTCTTGAAACAGGCCCAAAATGACCTGTGCTAAACCCTGGTCTGCCGCCTGAGTTTCACGACAGGTTGACTTTATGAGGGCTTGAAAATGACCCTCGTTTTCAGGCTTTTAGGCTGAAACGTCACAGGGCCTGGAGGGCCCTTATTTTCCGTCTGGTCGGGCCCTGCAGGCTCGTGTGGATGCGAAGTATGCCACCCCCCCCTTCCTTGAAAGACCGAGCTTACCTGCGAGAGCGAAGCTGTCTGTTGGAGGGGAGGACCAAAGCCGGGGTGGGAGGGGTCAGTCGTGAAGCTTCCTTAGCTAACCTTTGTCGTTCGTAGTGAGCGTAGATCAGCGGTGCGGATGCTTGCAAATCTGCTCCTGAACTCCATCGAGTGTCGTGAGGATCGCATGCTTTGAAGGTAACTTTGTACTGTCGAGGCTTGTTGTCGTACTCGCGATCCGTGATGACGTGGTCAACTTCCGGATGACCATCCATAGACAGAGGGTTTTGCGATCGTTGGCCCGGGAAGTCGTCGCTCTTAGCTAGTGTGTATGTCGCCAGCTTCGAGGCGTGAAAGACTGAATGGACCGGCAGCTGAGGAGGGATGCCGATCACAAAGGATGGGCCGTCGGGCTCGTCGCCTGCGGCTGAAAGGACGGTCCATGGTCCAAACCACTTGGGGAGTAGTTTGCACGAAACATCCTGTTCGAGCGCAAACTCTTCCGCAGAGACCCAAACCAGATCACCGATGCGGATGGGACATGGCACGCGACGCCTGTTGGCTTATTGCTGCGTGCGGACTTGAGCCTTTGCATGTTCGCGCGGGCTTGAGCCAGCAATTCCCTGTACTTCCGGATGGAGGCGGGAGAGCAAGAGGCGTCTCTGTCGGCAGTTCGTGGAAGGAGAGGATCAGTGAAGATACGACCTTTCCGGCCACCATGGTGCAACTCGAATGGAGTCACACCGATTGCCGGGTGCAACAAAGTGTTGTGGGCGAACTCAATGTCGGGGAGGCCGTCAACCCAATCCTTCTGATCCGAACGGATGAGCATATGAAGCATCATCTGAGCAGTCTGATATGCTCTCTCCGTTTGCCCGTCCATTTGTGGATGCCGAGCTGAACTTGGTTTCATCTTGGTGCCGGATTTCTCCATGAGAGAAGTCCAGAAAGCCGACATGAAACGAGTGTCGCGGTCGCTAACGATGTCTTCCAGTATGTCGTGGCTGCAAATCCAGCCCGTGTGCAAAAGGCACGGAAGTTCGGGAGTCGTGGCGTAGTACTTGCAAGGGAGAAATCGTGAGTACTTACTCAATCGGTCAACGACCGTGAGGATGCCGTCGTGCCCGAAGCGATCGCGGAAAAACGGGCCGGTGACGTCCATGGCGATGGAGAGGCCTGGTTCCCATGGAATAGGCAACGGAACAGCCATTTCGTCAAAACGGACACATTATATTTTTTGAACGAAATCAAAACTGATTTTTTTTGCCAAAATCCGGTCGGAATTTTTTGCGAATAGGGTTCCGACGTTCCCAAAACGCCGGACCCCCCTGGTCTATGGTTGAGACCAGATACCAGATTTTTTTTTTTTTTTTTTTTTTTAGTATCTGGTTTCAACCATAGACCAGATACATGTAGGGGGTCCGGCATTTTGGGAACCCCGGACCCCACAGAGCAAAAAATTCCGACCGGATTTTGGCAAAAATAGTCAGTTTTAATTTCATTCAAAAAATATAATATGTTCGTTTTTACGAAATGGCTGTTAGGAGGACTAGAGCAGCAGAGGCTAGCAGGGCACTTGTGAGTGAAGCCGCAGCTTCGGAAGCCATGGCCACCTCGGCACAGCAGTCCTCTCAGGCCGGTAGTTCAGGTCGGGTCAACGGTCGCGCAGACCCAGAGTCAGTCCACTGGCGTAATGGCGAGCCAGCCATTGGTGTTGACGCCCGATGAGATCGCCATACAGGAGGCGGCTCTAAAAGAGGCACAACTACAACATGCATTAGGACATATAAAAGCGGAGAAGGATAAAATGATTAGAAGAAGAGCCAGGATGCAGCGGAGAGAAGCGGACGTTAGTGAGTTAGAGGAGATGGACATGACGCACGTAACGGATGATGTGAGCATCATCCGGTCTGTCCTGCTGAATGAAGTGGAGATGCAGGACCAGCAAACAACCATCCTTCAGGACATTCAGCAAAGTCTGGCCCTGTTGGTTGGGCGAGCGCCAGCAACGTCACCAATGTCCGGGTCGGGTGCTTGGCCCGTTGTACATCCTCCTCCTTATGTCCCACCGGTGACTGGGGTATCCCCATATATAGCCCCATCATCGGTAGCGATCGTTTCCCTGGGCATGCCGCTTTCAGGAGGGGTATCAACAGGGACTAGTTTGCAGGTTCCTGTACAGACAGTGTACACCCAATCTCCGTTGCAGGTTGCGGTCAACGCACAACCTGCTGTCTCGCAGCCTGTGCATCCGCAGGGCACATAACCCCAGCAGCTAGCACAACAACCTGTGTCGCAGGGTCCACAGCTCGGAGTGATGCAGGGACCGGGACAAACACAGTGGGTTACAAAGACAGCCATCGCCGCTCCCAAACCTTTCACAAGGGATAAGAGGGGCGAAGACCTCGACACGTGGTTGAGGACAGTCCCGGTCTACGTCAGGTGTAAACTTACCTTGCCGCACGAAGAAGTGTTTGTGGTTGCCTCTTACCTAGAAGGTAGTGCAGCAAGATGGTTGAGTGGTTTAGTGCAGCTCCAGGGGTATGGTCATGACTTTCGCGCTTGGGCAGTCACCCAGAAATTGGATGACTTCCTCAAGCTGGTGGAGGAAAGGTGGCATGATCCTCAGGAGCCCCAAAGGGCCACCGACGCGATCCTGACACTGCACACACGGCAGTTTAAGTCAGTAAGGGAAGCCACCGACGCTGTTGAGCGTCTGATCTGTGTCCCAGGGGTGCACTATGACCCCCGGGTTCTGCTTACCTCGTACCTGAGATGCTTTTCTTTGCCTCTCAGGAACCAGTTGGCAAGTCAGACCAACATCAATATGCACAACTTTCCTTCGTTTAGCAAGATGGCCCTAGACCTTGAGGCGAAGATAGGGCATGGACAGGCACCCACTACGGATGGTAGGAAGAAGACACTGCCTCCCAACTGGAAGGCGAAGGGCCGCTTAATGTTTGTCGATAACGATGGTTCTACTATCGAGCTAGACGACAACTTCCAGGAGGGAGTAGGTTCAGAGGCGGGCAGCGTAAAAACTTCAGGGGGTGGAGTAGTCGCTGTTGTAACTCAAAAAGGTAAGGCGACCGGTAGACGTTGAGGACGCTCCCGGTCAAGGAGTCAAGTTGACCCCCCCCATGGGAGAAAGCGGGTCTCACAGAGGACGTGTGGAGAGATCGTTATTCATGGCGGGCCTGTATTCGTTGCGACCAATATGGCCATAACCGGTTCAAGTGCCGCAACAAGAAGGTAACCGATAAGATCCCGCCTACGATGGGGCAGGTGTTGGTATCCTCCCATCCCGTTGGTAGCAACGTGGCTAGTTTTTCTGGCAGTGCTCCGGGAAACACGTCGAGCCAGTAGGAATAGTAGTTGTTCCTGCTAGGATCGAGGTGGTGGAGACACCCTCACCATCTCGAGAGATGGCCCAAACTACTGACTCCAGCGTCGTCCCGCAAACACGTTCAGACCCATCGAGCCTTTGTTCGATGAATGTGTTTGAGTCCTTAGAGGAGCTAGAGGTGGAGTGGTCTAGATCAGACCCGCTAGCTTCTTGGACAGCCGTAGTCAAAGCCCCGAAGGGTGAGATGTTCGTTAGCGAGGTAGTCATTGGCGGCCGCAAGGCCAGGGCCTATTATGACACTTGCTCGACAAGGAACTTTATTAGTCATGCGTGCGTTGAGAGGTTGCATTTACAGGGGCGAGTGCAGCGCCTGAGTCGACCTGTGGAGTTGACATGTGCCAACAAACAGCGCATGGTAGTCAACGACTACCTCCATGATGTTGAGTGTTGTTTCCCGTACGCGGGAGGAGAATTGAGACATCGTGTCTCGTTCCTAGTGAGTGACGAGCTCCCAATGGATATGTTAATAGGTATGTACTACCTCTCTGTGGCACAACCCCAGTTTGATTGGGACCGAAAAGTGGTCAGATACACTTTGCCAGGTGGAGGGACTGCCCGATTACATAAGTTCAAAGCTAGTAGTCTGATTGAGTCCTATGGGTGCATGTGTGTGGCCGCGTTCTACAATTATTATAAGCAAAACCAGGAGGAGGGTATGTACTTAGTTTATGTCTCTGTTGCAGGCGAGCCGGTGAAAATGCAGTCAAAGATAGAGGGAGTAGTTGCCAAGTACCCTGATCTATTTGAAGAGCCGACAGGGGTTGTAGAGAGGGAGGTCGTCCACGCGATAGAGATTATCCCAGGGTCTAGTATCCCAAAAGGTAAGATCTATCGAATGTCTCCAGGCAAGCTCGATGAGCTTCGCCGACAACTCAAGGAATTTGTAAAGAAGGGTTAGATCTGACCGAGTGTCTCTCCTTACGGGTCTCCAGTTCTATTCGTACCTAAGAAAAAGGAGGGTACACTTAGGATGTGCATTGAGTATAGGGGCCTCAATGCCATCACTGTAAAGAATAGAGAGCCCCTACCGCGCATCGATGATCTGTTAGATAGAGTGCAAGGGTGTCGGTACTTCAGTAAGATAAATATGAAGTCCGGGTACCATCAGATTGCAATCCGGCCTGAGGATCAGCACAAAACTGCTTTTTATTCCAGGTACGGTCTGTACGAGTTTGTGGTGATGCCTTTCGGCCTTTGCAATGCTCCTGGCACCTTTCAGCGCGCTATGAATCGGATATTTCATGACTACTTGGATAAGTTTGTCATCGTGTACCTCAATGACATACTTATTTTTAGTAAGACTGTTGAGGAGCATGTTGCACATTTGGACGAAGTCCTCAACCTCCTGCGACAATACAAGTTCAAGATCAACGGTGAGAAATGCGAGTTTGGCCGCACCCGTGTCTTGTACTTGGGCCATGCGATATCCGCAGAAGGGTTAAAGCCCGATGACGCGAAGGTGGCCAGCATTCGTGATTGGCCACGTCCTCAGTCTGTGACTGAGATGAGATCTTTCTTAGGAATGACAGACTACTATAGGACTTTCGTCAAGAACTATAGCATAGTGGCCGCTCCTTTGACTGATCTGACTCGCCTTGACACCCCATGGGAATGGACAGACGAGTGTGAGGCTGCTTTCAGACATCTGAAGCATGCGTTGACACACTACGAGGTCTTGAAGCTTTCCGATCCTGACAAACCCTTTATAGTCACCACGGATGCCAGCCAATATGGCATTGGCGCCGTGCTTGCACAGCAGGAGGGGCCAAAGTTGAGGCCTGTAGAGTACATGTCCAAGAAAATGTCGTCTCAGAAGTTGGCTAAGTCCACTTATGAGAAAGAACTCTATGCGGTTTACAAGGCTCTGACTCATTGGAGGCACTATCTCCTTGGGAGGTTCTTCATCCTCCGAACTGATCATCAGACCCTGAGATGGATGAGAACTCAGTCGGTACTCTCTGACGCTCTCAAGTGTTGGATCAAAGTCATTGAGCATGACTTTGACCCTCAGTATCTGAAAGGGGAGTACAACAAGGTTGCTGATGCCTTGTCGCGTAGACCTGATTTCTCAGGTGCGTTGACTACTGAGTTCAATTTGACGGACAATGTTACTCAGTCCTTGGTGGAAGCCTATCGCGAGGACCAGTTCATGTCTGAGATCATACGCAGACTGCAGACGAAGGACAAGAAGACCTTTGCCGAGTTTGAATTGGTCAATGGCTTGTTGTTCCTTGAGAAGGCTGGGACTATGTAACCGTTTGAACGTCGTGAACGTTCGTTCGCGTTCAAATGTGCGTTTGAACGCGGATTTAAATTCGCGTTCAAAATTGAATGGCGTTCAATTATTTTTTCATTTTTATTTTTTTTATTTCTAATCTTTTTAATTTTTTTTTCGATGCCTAAAAATAACTCGTTTTTTCTGATTTTTTTTTTTTGTGAGCTCTCTATAATGTGGGGTACATGCCTCTTAATTTTGGAGTCATTGATTAGGCAAAAAAAAATAAAAAATCGCCAAAGATGAGGGTGTCAAATCGTGTTCGCGCACTCATTTTTTTACTTTTTATTTTTTGTTTTCACTTTATTCCGCCACCTAAGAAAATTTATTATTTTTTTACACTTTTTTCATGGGTTTTGTATAATGTGAAGTACACATCTTTAAATTTTTAGGGCATTTAGATCTGCCAAAAAAAAAAAAAAAATCACCAAAAATGGCAGTGTCACAAACGTACTCGCGCACTCACTAATTTCAATTCTCTTTTTATTTTTTTCTATTTTCTGTTTTTTATTTTTATTTTCAATTTGGTAATGAATTTGGATGTAATGCTCAGGCAAATGTTGTTTATTTTATTTTTCTTCATAACATATTTGTTTTTCGGAATTGTTTGAGTTTTTTTTTTTTTTTTTTTTTTTTCCCGCGTTCAATAAACGCGCGGTTCATTGCACGCGCATGCATTCCGTTCAGTTTCTGAACGGAAAACCCGCGTTCAATAAACGCGCGGTTTCATAGGGCTGGGAATAAACGTTTGTGTGTCCCGAATAGTGAGTCTTTGCATAGTTTGTTTTTAGGAGAGCGTCATGATGCCACCGACCATTTTTGGTACAAGAAGACCGCATCTAATCTGCTGCTGGTGACCCATGATGATCCGAGATGCCCAACTGTATGTGGAGACTTGTCAGGTCTGTCAAAGGGACAAGCCCCGTACACAGACTCCTCTTGGGCTACTGAAGCCCCTTCCAATTTCGGAACGGCCTGGTGAGAGTCTGTCCATGGACTTCATGGATACTCTGATCACCACCAAGAGTGGGATGCGAAACATCTTCGTCAACGTGGATAGATTTAGTAAGTATGCCAGGTTAGCAGCAATGCCGGAAACAACAAGGATGAAGTATGTAATCAGAATGTTCAAGGAGAACTGGGTTACCAAAGTCTATTATTAGTGATAGGGATGTCCGATTTACCAGCGAACTATGGAAAGCCGCTGCTGCAGAGCAGAGAACCCAGTTGCAAATGACTTCTGGGAATCGCCCAGAGGCCAACGGCCAGGCTGAGCAACTGAACCGCGCTATACAACACTTGTTGAGGCATTACATCAAGCCCAACCAGGTGGACTGGGATGAGAAGCTTGCACTCATCGCCAGTCTGTATAACAATGCGGTACACAATGCCACCGGGGTGAACCCGAACAGTCTACTACTGACTTTCAAACCTAGACTAGTACCCTTAGATTTTCTCCTTCCTGAGAATCAGTCGACTGCTGCACCAGGTAAGTTAGAGTTTGCTTACCGCTATGAACAGAAGATGCAGTAGGCTGTAGAACAAATGCAAAAGGCACAGACGGCTATGATAGAATCTGCGAACAAACACCRCCGTGAGTCTTCATTTCAGGTTGGGGACAGAGTCTGGGTTAAGTCCTCAGAATTGGGACAGGAGCACGGGATCTCCCGAAGTTTTAGACATCGTTGGGACAGATCCGAATGGGCCATCTTATGTTATCCAGATCCCTGGTCATCTTCGAGCTTACCCTGTCTTTCACGCCTCCAATCTTGCACCTTTCAAGGAAACAGATGAGTTTCCTTCTCGTCGCTCAATGCTGCCCCCAACCATGGATGGAGAAGTGGACATCGATGACATCGTGGATCACAGGGAGCTGCCAGCTCAGAGACCTGCAGGAAGGGGACGTCCTCCGAAACCGAAGCTGCAGTACCGCGTTCAGTTCATACATCATACTTATCCTAAGGAGGACCGTTGGTTCACGAGGGAAGAACTCATGCAGACCGCTCCTCAAGTTGTAGCCCATTATGAGAAATCTCTACAGAAGGGAAAGCGCCCTATGATTGAAGCCTGAGCTTCTCAGAGGACTGTTGAAGCTAAGGAGGAGGGAATGCGAGGCCACTGCCTCTATGAGCCCCATAAGGCCCCATTTTGCAGCCCGTCGGCCGCCCTAAGTGAAGGCAGGCTCGACGAGGCCCTCAGGGCCCTATTCTGGCCACCACGCAACTCAAGGAAATTCAGGCAGTTGCGCAACGCTAGTTGGTTGAGTGAACTCAGGCCCTGGGCCGCCTGTGTGAATGTATGTGAAGCGGGCCCTGGGCTGGATACGGGTACTGGGCCAAACACAGGCCAAAGGCAGTTGGGCACATGCAACCACCTCAGGCCCAAGGCCTGTACTCGTTGTGCTGGGCCTCAGGCTACCGGGGCCTACTGCAAGCTTCCTGAGACTGGACGCAGGCATACCACTTCGATATAGCAAAGGGTATGCCTCCGCATTCAACATTCGGGTGCTCGCTGCATGTTGCGCTATTTGCTGGCTGGCGCCTATGCTCTCACGGGCGAGCAGGGAAGGAAGACGCATCCATAGCCGAGCTGCGTTGCTGTAAGCTGGGTGAGGCACAGGGTGGTCCTTGGGTGCTAGTGGCATCTGTGTGTTGGGGAACGAGGTTGTGAGTGTGGCGAGAGACATACGTGGTGCTGGAAGCGTGCAACATTGGTCGCCATATGCTCGTACTTCGGGAAAGTTGTTGGCGTCATCTTTCGGCATCGTAGTATAGGCTAGATAGGATCTGCCACATGTAGTCTGGGCACCGAGCGCTAGATACGATATCAACTCTGGTTCTTCGTTGATGATGATGAGACTATTTCAGCATTGTCAATTATGAATTCTTGGTGTGTTCTTATTTGGTGAATCTCGTGATGGTGAATCTCGTGATGCAATTCTGTTGTTGGTTCGAGGTCACGACTATCTGGACTCATATGTATGGTGCTGTTTGATTGCTGAAGTTCGCTATTGCTCATCTTCCTTGCACCTGGAAGCATTATGCATCTTGCGCGGAACTTACTAGAATAGATCATGCAAATGCTGTGTACTACCATCTTCTCGCCCGAACGGACCTCCCTGGTCATTTTCGTTGTGTACCTAACTAGACCAGAAGTTGCAGCAAATACAACAGTTACTTTAATTATGACCAGGCATTCTATTCAGTGTGAAGAAGGAAGAAGGTATACCTTTGGAGATTTCCGGAGAGACCAAGAAGACTAACTGCAAAAATTCCATTTGATTTGCTGTTTTTCTAAATGTAAAACAGTTGTAAGTACTAAGTACATATCATGGCAGCGGCGGACAACCAAACCGGACAAAATCCGGACAACGGAATTCGGGGCTTGATCCGAACGTCTGCTTTTTTATGGTAATTTTCGGTTAATCCGGACATGTCCGGATCCCTGTCTGGATAGGTATACATGTCCGGATTTAAATTAAAATAAATTTAAATAAATAAATAAAAATTATGCAAATGGCGCGGATGACGACGAAGAAGACGTGGAGGAGGGGAGCGGGAGGAAGACAAACGGCCAACATTGAGCTCCTCAAAACCAAGCTACTTAGTACCAGGGTGTTGGCCCACATACTCCGTGTTTTTTTTGTTTACTTTTCTACGACAGTGTGACGCGAGAATGCAGGAAACGAACGTTGAATCATCCTCGAATTTGGTTTCATTCATCTATTCCCATAAGGATTCGAACTCAGGTCTGCCTTTAAACAGTGCATGGTTTGTACCATGTCCTCTTAGTACTGGGGTGTCGGCCCACATACTCCGTGTAGTTTACTTTTCCACAACATTGTGACGCGAGAATGCAGGAAACGAACGTTGAATCATCCTCGAATTTGGTTTCATTCATCTATTCCCATAAGCATTCGAACTCAGGTCAGCCTTTAAACAGTGCATCATGGGTACCATGTCCTATTCCCCTCCCCTATTGGACAAACCATACCCTTCGCGGCCTGGTGAACGTGTTTGAAGTTCTTCTCAGATAAAGACAACCTGGGCTTACCTTGCCCCGTGCATTCACTGAAGAGGAAAATCGCGTTTGGTTTGTTACCCCAGAAAAAAACGAACTCGTAGCATAACATACAACAACGCCCAAGCCTCTCCCTCCCTTCCTAACATCACCCCAACATGATATGCCCCAACCAATCACAAAATGATAGGCCGCTGACTCCCCTTCCAAAAAGGTGGGATGTGTAATCCTTCTAACCCCTCCCTTCTTAACATGACCCCAACATGATGCCCCAACCAACCACAAAATGAAAGGCCGTTGGCTCCCGTTCCACTTGCAAGATGATGATGATGAGATCCAACCGTCCGTTTGTGAGATGATCGATACAGTTCGCAGTGGTCCCCACAGGCACACAGGTAGTAGGAAATTAAACTACACGGGTGCATGTGGGCCGAGACCCTCGACCTCAAATTTCTCCTGGGGAAAAAAAGGGGGAAAATGAAAAAAAGGTACTTCATATCTACCATGGCAGCATTCCGGACTGCCGGACAGGGATCCGGACCGTCCGGTTCCGGTGCTCTGGTCCGAACCCCGGTCCGGATTTGAGAGAGTTACGACAAGGGTCGAATTTTTCTTTAATAGGGGCCAATTTTTGTAGGCTAGCGAACGGGATCCACTAGGGGCTGAAATTTATCCTCTCCTTTTTTTTTTTTTGTCCCCTTCTTTTTTTCTTCAAGACGTTTCCTCCTCGCCGTTTCCGTGTCGTTTCCTCATATCATGGTTTTCTTCCTCCTTTCTCCTCCTCCACGGCTTCGTTTTCCTTCCGCTCCTCCTCCTCCTCCTTCTCCATACCTTTCTACTCCCCCTCGTCCTCCTCGATGTCTTCGCCCTCCTCCCCCTCGTCCTCCTCGATGTCTTCGTCCTCCCCCCGATCGTCCTCCACATCTTCTTTGTCCTCGTCCTCCTCCTCCTCTCCGTTCTCCTCCTCCTCTTTGCCCTCCTCCCCCCCCCCCCCCCCCCCCCCCCCCCCCCCCCCCCCCCCCCCC